AATTTGGTCGGTGAATACTACACACAAGTTAGTATGTCCATCTTGGAATGCGTGACAAAGCTGAAAACTTGGTTCGTCACCCACAATGGCTGCTGTCCTCACACACACACACACAGACAAATGATCATATTTCTTTACAATTCTATTTTAAAAAAGGACGTTTAAAATAATGTGACATTCCAATTTTCTACTTTGTACGTATAGTTAGTGAGCACAGTACAAAGACCGCGCCCGATGTTCGGAATTTTGTGTTCAGTACGCGCAAAGTGTAATACAACACGGTTTTTTTGTGCATGTTGATCAGATAGCACCTGATCTTTTCAGGTCACATTTGATGTCTTTTTGACATAATCGTAACTATTGCTTATGTGGCAATTTACTTTAGCTCCTGCACAGGCTACACAGAATGAAATTGTTGCACAGAGAAGGAACCGGAAGGGAGTACGACAATTCAGCAAAATGTGATGACAGGCATCAATTGATCATCTTTGCGATATGTCATGCATTAGAATCCGCCGGAAGTGTTTTTCACTCATTCACTCTCCAGAAGCATTGTGCTGTTCAACCAAAATTCAGTGGAAACTTGGTTAGTTACATTTAAAAACCTTCAGTGATATAGACGTCATTTGGCTTTCCCGCAGATACCTACGTTTATAACTCAATGGTTGTTTGCTGATAAATCAGCCGAACATCACACAAATCCATTTTGCCACACAAACAAAACAAATTTGCGGCGGTGAGGATCATTTGCCTTCCAAGGAGACCAGCTGTGGATTGGGATGATTTCGGACATGTTAGAATTATTAGTGAGTAAACCCTGATTTCAGGACGTGAACTGTGTAGCTGGGGCTGACATTCACCTCAGACAACGACTGACATCCAGTGACGCTGAAAAGTAATACGTCATTATATTGGGTACCCACAAATACCACCTGTTCCTTCACTCTCCCAGATTCTCAGAACAATGTAAATCTCGTCAACCCACAAACCCAGTCTCATGAGAAATTCATGAAACTTGTCGATATCAAGCTTGACGCGAGGTTGTTTTTATCAGGAAGGTCAGCTTCCTGAAAGCAACCACTGAATCCCGGAATCTACGGGGACTCTCAGCTCCGCTGGGTGTTGACCAGACAGACAACGCCCCTTCAATATGCAGCACGTCACAGCCTTGTATCAAACCCAGACAGCTCGAGTCAGCGTTGATCAAGGTCAGACAACGCCTCCGCAATATGCAGCACATCGCTGCCTCGTACCAAAGTCAGACCGTGTGCGTCAGCATTGGACCAAGTTCAGACAGTGTCCTTCCAATAAAGTGCTTGAGGCCGTTGTACTTTTCGCACTCACACGCACTCGCGCTCTCGCAACCACTTTGTTGGAATATAGCTATTGTGTTCCCTTCCGTGATCATTTTTCCCTCTGACACTAGGCACTGGAGCGGGTCAGCAGCAGATACCACAGGCCGGCGAATCGGCAGATATAACAGTTTTGTTGGTCTTTTAACAATTTTTATGTAGTATTTCGACATGCCCGATAGCAAAAATGTGTTACTATAATATTAGTAATTGCATCATAAGAGTGAAAAATGTTAGAGTTTCCTAAAAAGACACATTTCTTGGGTTTGCAAAGACAGTCATCAGTTTTTGCTAATCAAGCGGTGATTGATAATTCCTTGAAAACTAAAGAAACCGAATGTCGATTGCGATATTTATTCACGTTTTTGTAGTTCAAGAAAAACAGCAAAAACCAAAATTTCCCAAGAAAAGTGACACAAATGACCAAGTCTTAGCAATGACTGAATATTGCCAAGACATTGCAGCTTACGCTATAAATAAATTTAGATGATCGCTGAAAGAACGGGACATTCTTGAGCAAAGGAAGAGTGTAGGAAATGACAAAGCCGGGTGGAAATAGTGCTAGTGATCTCGAACGGAAGAATAAAGTACTGTGACGCAAACAAATTCATCGATTTAACAACATAATAACATAATGAAATAATAACAATGAAACTTTACGAGGGCTATCATACGAGTAATATTTTTATACGCAGGTTGATTTTGACCTCATGTCGGCCGCAACCTTCGTGACATTATGCATAGTATAGTTCACAAAACTCTAAATAGAACATCCTTTTGGCTAAGAGGAATTAAAACCGTAGAAAAATCATTGCTGTTTGAAAGCTTTTGATGTCCTGTTAGCGATGGGACCAATCTATGCCGTTTAAGACAGGTTTTGACAATCTAAGCCCACCCAACGTGCTTCAGAGGAGATCACATTGGCGTGTCTCACTGAGATTTTTTGTAAGCTTATAATCTAGTAGCTGATATCCAGATGGAACGTTTTTAAATGAGAAATGTGCATCAACGAGGCTTTGGGCATTCTGATTTTCAGACAGCTCTGTGCTGAACGTGAATCTCCCAGATTACTCGTTTTACACATTTGAAACTAACCTTGGATAGAATCGAGATTAACGCTTTTCTAGTCAAGCATAACCGTGAATTTTGCTCCTTCTGTACCATTATGAAACCAATTAATGAACTGTCGGTACTACTATTCAATCGACCTCTTTGTGGGTAGAAAACTTAAGGGGATTTGGCTGCTCGTTTTGCAATTGATGGTAACCTTGAAGATGGTTCAGTATTTCTTCATTCCTATCAAGAGAAACAGTAGGTGGCTTCCTATTCAGAATTCCGGTTAATTTGGTCTTTAGGCAGATATGTGTTATGTAAGCGCAAATATATTTACCAAACTGGATTGATATGATGGAACTGAGCAATAGCAGTGTGCGAATTTTGCCTGTGATGATTCGCTTCATAAAGGGTTTTCTTCACAATTAATTTGAGGCGTGGTTGATTTATCTCAGAGTTTATTCCTCTGGCTAGTTATTTGTTCATACAAGTGTAAACTGTGACGGTCTTACTATGCAGGTGTCGTGGTTATATTGTTTCACCCTACCGGGACAGTTTACTTTCAGATCGTTGAATGGTACCTCTGAGGCGCTGAGCCAATGTCTGCACATTCACCGTAAGGAAATTTCGTGCGTCATGACGACCACTATTCAAGCATTCGAATGTGAAAAGCTCAGTGATCTTGATATGAACTGGGCATATTTTGTACTTATTCAAACTATGTATACTCAGTCCAAAGCATCTCGTGAAACAGCACAGTTGGATTCACTCCGTGTAAACCAGTAAATCGCGATTGTATGGAAATGCATGGGAGGAAACATAAATGAAAAATGTTTTTGGGAACGACGCCTAGATTCGATGAGGATTTATCTCTGGAATCCCCATGGGACACATTGCCAACATGAAGAAAGTGTATAAATGATGACCACGAAATCCAAATTTGGTCTTCCTGTGGCAACCATTAAGTAGAGGGCTACATAGTAAATCCGAAGCTTCATAAGTCAGTATTCGGGATTTAGGCTAAACTATCGGCGGATGAATTGGTCACGTGAACTGATAGTTAGTGTAACTGAACAAGATCAGTTGACGAAATACGGGTTACATGTTCAGAATAAGTTTACCATGGTAGGGCGGATGATTTAACTCGGATAGCAGCTGCTAGGTGCGTGCGCAATGAAGTTTCAATTACTCTGTGAATACAACAGCTGACACCACATCTCTCTACAGCGGCACAGATGACTGTGACAACACTGTAGCAGTTGTATACTGTCCAAGAGCTACCAAGTATCTCAAAATGCAAATGGACAAAAGTTATTTCAAATAGTAGAGTAGGAGCAGAGTAGAGGTAGTGGACTGAAAACTTTTTATGAAAGGGTTTTGTTGGAAACCCCCTTAGTTCACCTTCAAATTGTCCTTTCCAGAGGAGATCAAAGATGTTTTTTTCCAAAACCCCTTTAGTGCTATGGTCGACAAAAGGTATAGAAGCTTGCGTGACAAGTCAGGAAAAAATGCACCCTATGGCGTCGACAGCACGCAAAGAAGGCGTTAAATGGTCAAACTACTTCGTTGATAGTTATGAATTCGGACAAAATAGCACTGTGTTTATACCAGTGTCTATACTTCCTGGCGTCACCCTGTCTTTGCAGTCAAGACGCTAATGAGATAGCCACTTCACTGTTCCATGTAGACGCCATCTGCCATCATATGCGTGTAGGTTATGAGAAAAGCTTTACGCACAGGTTACTGGGATTGCAGGGATACTGGTGTGATATTCCTATGCTCCACCGTATGATCAAAGTAAATGTGGTATACCTCACCCTCAGATGTAAGTGAGGAGTCCAGTGCAATATACTGCATAGTAGATATGAACTTGAAACTGTAAGAATCCATGACTGAATAGGTTGCTTAGTTGCCATACATTTTAAATGTTGATTTGCAGTTTGCCATTCTGAAATATTTGAGATATATGGAATATATCTACCTCTCGTTCGTCAACACTCCCTTTGAGTTAAAGCTGTGCTTCCGGCGGAAGAGAGCACAAGGTAGGATCATAGTGCCCTTTGAAGAACAAGGTAGAAACGGAAACAAACCTACAAGTATTGTTGACGGGCACTTCTCACCTTTCCAAGTAACTGAAGGGTTTCGCATCGATGCACATACTTCATGACAACTGATCAAGCTTTTAATTGTTGAAATGTTTTCAAGTTTGATAAGATTAGCATGAATTCTAATTTAGTTACTCAAGGTCACATACTCATAAAGTACCTTTCCTTCAACATTAAATTCCGGAATGTTGGATCTCGTAGATTACTGCAAAGTTTACATCCTTCAAGTCAGTTAGAAAAGACTCTTGCTTTCTGTATGCTCGTCTGGCGAAAATCACCTTTGTGCTACCGTTAGCTTAACAGACAACTCGGTTTAAAAAAAACGCAAAGATGGTTTGCCTCCTATTCCACTTCACCAGTACATCAATAGGCCAATATTTGTGTGTCCTCGTTTGTTACTTCAGACCACAGATTGATCAGAGTGAAGGGATTCGTGTGTTTACCAAAATGAACACCCAAATTAGAAGAGAGAAATTTATTACGCATGAGCTGAGTGGCACAGAATCCGCCGCTGAAGAAATCTTGCTAGCTTGCTTGACCGCAAAGCAACAGAAAGTTGATACAGCACAAGTGAAGTAGTTGGTGGAAACAACCTGAAAACCATAGATAAAAAGTACGGGCGGTAAAGTTTGAATTATTTCTACAGCACAGAATTTCCAAGGACAATAAGCAGTGTGCATCGCTGAGAGTGGAATGCAAAAAGTGCAGTAAAGCATAAGGTAAAGCAAATAGTAGTTGATCAAAATATCGCTCCCGAGAATCCTCAGTAATAAGCCAGGTTCAAATAAATGTAACCGGTGGCAGCCGCGCAGAGTGACACTGAAATATAAAATAAAAACCCAGGGTGTAAGTCTGTGTAGTCCGTACACTAACAGCAAGAAAAGGCTTGAGACGGAAGAGGTGCAGAGCATATGGTTAGTAATCTCAGTTAGTGTAAAACATAGTTGCTAATTTTCAGTCATTTGGGAAATGTTTGTGCCTGATTGGATAGTCATCGTTTCAGCGAGGTTTCGTGAACAACGGTGCATTTATTGCTGGGAGACATTTTGCTTTTACACAAAGGCTTCGTCGAGCCAAGTGAGTAAGCAACCTGGTTGATCGGGTTTCAAGGCAGTCAGGGAAGTGTCTGACTGGATCGGTGCTGGGTGTCGAGCTGAAGTTCCCGCTTTTGGGTGACTGGCATTTAAGATAGATTAGTTGGAGCTGTCAGTCTTGATGTTGAAACCGGATTTCGTGGCTCTAGTAAACCCAAATGGTATATTCCTCTTGAGGGTCATTCACAGATTTTTTCGTCTGTGTGCATCAAGTGGTGCTGGGAAAATTGGGTTGAAGTTGGCGGTTTTCTATGGAATCTTACTATGACTGAATTTTTTACTTTTAGACCCATACCATTTTGCTGATAACTGCGGACTGCTTTGTCTCAGCTCGGTTGATCTGAAACTGTTTTCCACAAGTTTGCCAGTTTTACTCCCTCTATTCTACTCATGCTAAAATGCTTGGCGATTTTGACAGCCTCGGCTACCAGCCACTGCAGTGTGAATCTTAGTCCCCGCCTCACAACGTTCATATTTTAAAAATCTATCCTGTGACCACTGTCTAGTGCATGCTTTGCCATTGCCAAATTTCTGACTATCACCTGATGTTCATGTACAGTTCTCGGTGGTCTGTTGATAAATCACTCTTGCTCACCGATTCTGCAGTCTGACCCATATAAACCTTTGTGAAGTCGTCACATTTTACTTTGTATACACAGTTCCTATTCCTATCAATCAGAAGGCGATTCTTCAACTGCACCAAAACCAAGCGTAAAGTATTTCCATTGTGAGATACACCTCTGATATTGACCGTACTCAGTACCTCTCTAAGGACTTTAGTCACTTTTTTTAATCAAGTTGTGCTGCTCTTCAGTCGAAATCTCCCGTGCACAGTGCTCTTACTTTATTAACAGTGCTGTAACCATACTAGCTTATGATGTTTTTTTGGGTGCGCTGAGGAGTACTTTAAGACCCCACCACCATCTGTGGATATACCATAAAGAACCACTCTGGTATGTCATGCAGTCAATAAAGGCCAGTGTACCCTAGCCATGCTAAAATTAATATAAGGATTCAAACTGTTAGGATAAAGAAAGAATTCGTTAACCTTATCCCACTTTATCACAACGAACGTGTCATCTACGTAACGCCAGAAAACCTTTGACGGATATTCGAATTTGTCTAAGACCTTCTGTTCAATGTCTTTCATGTACATGTTAGCCTAAATTCAGGATACTGGAGATCCCAAATTTGGAACTTATTCTTGAGAGTATATAATTAAGTCAAAAACAAAGTAAATTAGGTTTGTACATACTCTTTTGCCTTCAGCTATCTCCGTTACGGAGGGTTGCGCTCGTTCTTCCAGCGTTGTCTGTCTCGCTACTTCCAGAACGTCGGCTTTGTGGACATTGATATTTATCGGACCGACATCGAAGCTGACAAGAATTTCGTGTATCTCTAACTGAAAAGCAGCTACTTTTCTTAGCAAAGTCATTCGAATTTTGAATGCGTGTGGGTGACTAGCCGGCAGGCGCTACAATAGGACCTGCCAGAAATTTGGCCAGCTGATGTGGTGTTAAACACATGCTGTCTACTAGTGGTCTTATGGGAACACTTGCTTATGAATTTTCGATATCCCATTAAGTCGTGGTTGGATTGCACAATCGATACGACTTGCATTGCCCCAGCTGATTTTTCAGAGATCTAAACTACCTTCCAACTTTGGATTTCTTCCTATTCAATAATGAAGTAATCGTCTGGTTACTGATTTGTCGGTAAGGCCCATCAGCTTATTTATGACGACCGTGACCTTGCCTTCATCTGCCTCTGTAATCACCTTACAGTCTCCATGTTTTAATGTGGCAGATGACCCCTTTGTCTGGAAGCCGATAATACACTTTCACAGTTAACGTCCTCTCTGGAAATGGAAACATTTTTGCTCAATCCTCCTAAATTATCCAATCAAAAGGGGAAATTGTTCCGTGAACAATGGTCATGATCTGTAATATCTGATGGTCTGGCAAACCCTAAGGTCTTTTATCCCAAACTTTTTCGTCTGGAAACTCTAATGAGAGAAGATAAAGATTGCGTATGAATGTTCCATGACATTTTGGCAACTGTGATCCAAAGGAACAAAAAATTAGACCAAAAAAGAAAGTCTTTTTGTGCCGCATTAAAAGAAACAGCCATGAAGTAGGACATTCATCCTATACGTCAAGGTGGATGGGATCACTTGGAGATCCAGTTAATGGTGATTCTGTGAGCTTTTTTGGGAGTAGGTGAGAACCGTACGTAAATCTGTAATTCCGGCTAAATGGTTTATTCTAGGTGGCACTATAATAAATGTGATGTCCTTGAAGTCACTCCGTACAAACGAGTAAGTACTGTTGAAGTGAGCAGTGTACCTGTGCGTACATTAAAGGTATTGTTCTGTCCAAATTAGAGTAGCCCTCTGATACGATTCTAAAGGAGTTCGTTTGCAATCAGCAAGTCGATTGTTTTATCTTCTCCCGTCTGCCGTAAAGACAACTTTTTTTACCGTCACAGCAGCCTTCAATAAAGATGCTATTTTTTGGGAACACATACTGATTAGTGGGTGTGCGATTCACAGCTCACCTTAAAGCTACGTTGGGTGGTAAATCCTCCCGGTTTTTTCGGCTTTTTTCTCATGGCCATGAAAAAACCCGTGGCATACTCCATTCCGCAGCATCCAATTCGCCTTTCTGTCTTAGATGAGCTATAGTAGCAGGGGATTTCTTAGAATAAATCACTGGGGGAAACAAGTAGCACCACGCTTTTTTCCCTAGTAAACGGAAAAACAAACAGCTCGGCCGACTGGATTCAATTATTAGGAATAGAACGTTTATTTCCCTGTTCCTGGTGCTGAAAAATGACCACAATTTTCAAAGCATAGACATCTTTTTTCAACCATTTAAGCGATTGTGCTTCCATTCATGTGTTAAGTTACTTTGTCTCCGATAACATCTGGCAACTTTTCCACAGGAGCCTTGCTCCTACCTGCGCATGACTGGCTGACATTTCCTACAGATTACAGCATGATTAGATTGATCCAGCGACGACAGCAAAACGCCAGTCAGTCGATCGCCCTACCTCAGCTTCAATTCACTGCACGCCATATCAGGGAATTATGTGAACTTGTCCTACCGTTCACAGTTGTATCGACTAATCGGAACCCTAGAATATTCCGGCATACCAGAGCGCAGAAGGAACAGTTCTTTCTGGGCAAACAATATTAAACGGAAATGCACATGGACTTCCTTATGCCCTTGTTCCGCAACAGATAGAGGCGAAAAAAATTTTTACAGCTCAAAATATGTTCTTGTATCATACCGAAAAAGATTAGGAAACCTACATGTTACAAACCAATACGCTGACCAAAGAACTCGTCAGGCGCAACAATTTTACAAACCTCATTCTGCAGGCTCTTTGCTTCGTTTGCGCGGGCAACCGATCCGTGATTTTGTGAGCATACTATTGTAGACTATGGAAACAGAGTAGAATATTGCAGTTCGTTACATAAAAAATAAATGCTGTTAAAAATGTCATGGAATATATCTGTTCGTGTGTGTTGACAATTTTTGGTAATAGTATCACAAAACTCGCAACTCCGTATTTTCTGTGAACAGACTATCATTCTCGGATGGTTCCGGTTATCCAAAACACCCAAAACAGATAAACCCCGACCAGCCGTTTCGCTCTTGTTGGAAATCATCATCTGAGTGCAACCCACGAATATCCAGAAGGACCGGAATTTCCCTGGCTGGTAGTTGAGACGTAGACCGTTCGGCTACAGGTGGCTACTGATCAGTCACGGAATTCCGATCATGAGGTCGTGTGTTGCTTGCGTTCTCGAGTGACGACAGATGAGAAACAAATTCCGCGCGTCGAATGAACTACTTTCCGTTCGATCTAATTGACTGAGGGTTAAATCGGGTTATACCTCGTCGAAATGTGAGAAGATTACACCGAACGTCAGTGGCACATGGTTTGAATGGTCTGATCTTCAATCGCTACTCGAGAGTTTGCAATTTTGAAGTTCCCTGGAGTTGCTCACTGCTCTTGATGTTCCATAAGAATGAAAGAGCTGTACTGTGTAGGATGGCCTATGAGCGCAGACTGAATTTACTTCGATGGACAAATATTAGTTGGAAACTTCCAACTATGCCCATATTACCATATTACCATATTACCAACAATAATGAGGTAAAGTGAACCAGTTAAGCCACTATGGACAAGCTAATTACCATATTATATGGATTCACAAACCCCGTTTCAGTTACGTTGCGAACTGGTAGTGCGCGTTTTAACTCAGTAAAAGTGCAGCGGTTTGCTTCAGCGCCTCTCATAGGTTGAACTGGAAGGGACCACTAGTCAACCCATTTGTGAACGCATATAAGTGATAATTAGGAGAGTAAGGTAGTTTTACGACGGCACCATCAATATTTGAGTTTCCGGGACACATAAAGGATGGGAAATTCCGGTGACCTTTAACTTGAAAACGGAATGAAAGGGGCGTTGAGTACTAGCAGCAGTCTGTCAACGATTCCTGAAACATATTAGCATCAATATAAACTTTTATGAGGGTTTTCCTTTCCCATACCCTGTGGATAGCAATTAGCACACTTGTCAAGTGCTTTGCACCCCAGGGTCTGATACAGAATGCTGAATTCTCGGCCCTTAGCATGTCTTCATAGTAGATGAACATACCAGGAAGCACTGAATTTGTCTTCATTGAACTCCTATTGAGGATGCTGTGTGACCCTTGATAATGGCAATTTTTGGAGAAAGCCTTTTGAAGTTTTCGATGAGGCTTCACGTATATATATGAATAAACCTCTGCTTATGTTGGCGAAACTAAGGGGAATCCCGAAAACTCGGAAAAAAGTAGTGGATAAAACTGCGCGCATTATTTAATAACGCCACTTCGATTCAAGGTTTACATCTTGATCGCCATACGCCTATGCTAAACAAGGCTTAAGCAATTGTTCCAACCAAATCACAATGAAAAGGCTTGTACGAGCGAACCTGACCTGAAGCATTATTGATTAATCGCTTCAGCAGTGTAGTCTATGCTCATAATAGTCGTTTCGTAATGTGAATAGACGACATCACTTTTGACTTCCGCAGATTTTTCGCAATATTTCAACGTATTTTCGCGATCATTTGGAGTGCCAAAAATAGAAGCATACTGGTTGAAGCATACTTTGATGCCGATTGGTTGTTTAAGAGAATATGAAGTCCTAGTGTCTTATTTGCAATTTTTTCCAATTTTGAATGAATAACACAGATATTACTCAGTTGTGTTGACCTACAAGTACTCAGCTGAATACCGTGCTATTCGAGAAACCTTACGTACATACACAAATCTTGAGCATCCGTTAAAATAGGTCCGGATAATATATAATGTCAAAACTCTTCCCCAGACAGCCCACATGTTATCAAAACAACTTTTTTGCCTTTCGTGTGCGCAACGATTTCAGGCACATCCTGCTGAAGTTTCTTGGTTTTGCATTATNTCGTTGACTTCATATTCAGTCAACTTTCTGAGCACCTTCATAACAAGCAACGGTTTCGTCAATCCACAATCGGCTTGTTCCACGTGGTCCCTATTCCAGCGGTCGTCGACCGAGTACTCATGACCGCATTGGGCATGTATTCTTCCCAGTTTACAGTCCTAAGGAAGAGATCCAAATCTTACGCGATTCCGTGTAGAATCATGGCACGCTGTCTATAGCACCGACCGTGGAACAATCGGTTTCAGTTGGTCTCACTGCACTGTACGCTGAGCTGAACAAAATTGTATCGTAAAACCCGGTTGAGTTCAATGGACAATTTTAATATCCTGCACGCATATATAAATTTGGTTTGAAAATGAGTGACAAAGAAATAATAAGTGAGGTTCAATGGAGGAAAATGCCTGCACAGAAATAACGGATCTCCACTAATTAGTGATCCTTCTTATGGCAAAATCGCCAGTGAACTTGTCGGAAATTTTAATACCCTTGATTTTCTGCCTAATTTCGTTGGTTTTTTTATGAGGAAGTTGATTAGTGGAAACATAGTGCACTGAAATTGGAGAAGATATGCATAAAAAATAAATTTTTCACATCATAATGTATTTGCGTACTTCTTGGTTTCAAACTTTGTGGCCGCCCCGTAGTTTTGGAAGCTTCAGCTTCTAGAATGTCTTTTATATCTCTGGATTCGATATACGTTTTGGCTACGTCGGGTGGCATTTTATTCACTCTCATCTTGACGAAGATCCAAGCATCTAAGCTCTCATCCTTCGCTTCAAGCAAATCCAACGAGTAAGACCAGACGAAGTTGTTTAGTTCCATTTGAGTCAGAGTCATTTCCACCTACGAGTAATTATTGAACGATATAGAAGAGGAATGGTTATTCAGCCAAAAACGTGAAATTAGCAGCTAAAAAATCTCCCAAATCAAAATATATGTTGACGCCTCTGGAACCAACTGGAGTCAAGCGTAAGTGCAATGCTAATGTCTTCTTTACATACATAAAACCCGTGGTGATCCATAAGTCTAAATGGCGGACTGGCAGGTTTCGGCATTTCAAACACTCTAACCTATCACTGAATGTCCGTTCCTAAGATAGTTTTTTACATGCGTTTCTTTGGTCACATTTTGGTCACAAAATGACCCTTCATTAGAAAGAGGGCTGCTTATGGGACAACACTCAAGTGAAATAGGGATTCCCGCAACTCTCTGAAGGGGTAACCTTAACCCAAGGAGGTCATCATTGGGAAGTAAGCAGCTGACTCTCGGTGTTTCGGTATCTAATTAATGGATTCATTCTATCTAGCGCGGGGCAAGAAAACGCGTTGAATAAATGTGTCACCAACAAAGGAGAACGCACACGCTTCACATGAATTCGATAACGACGGATATGAGAATGTTATAGATAAACGAAGGTTCCAAAACCTGCTAGTAGTGCACTCGCAAATGCTGAGAAACATTAATGCTCCATCCAGAGCAATATAGTCAAAGGCAGTTTTTTTCCGAAAAGTGGTAATCTTTTGGTAACGACCACCCGCTAGCACCGTTCCAGGGGGCAGTCCTGAAAACTTTCAAGAGACTTTTGAGAGACTCGCCTTCCTAAGTTTTCCTATGCCTTAGAAGCCTACTTTTGGCATTACATTGTGTCATACGGATGAACATCACAATTGCAGTTAAGAACGTCCACATAATTTAAGTGCAATTGTGCGTCTGGTCAATTAATTAATTATCTGTTTGATGCCAGAATGTAAAGTGGAATCCACTGAAAGTTGTGAAAGTCCCTCATGAAAGTCACCAAACCAAACCATATTGCAAACAAACCCTGGCACAGTTTTGTCCGGTTTATACCGCCGTCGGTCGGATAAGAGGTTGCTCATTGATAACAAAATGACCCCTATTTTTGGCCAACAAATTTAGCTGGTTTTACAATGGAACACAGAATTTTAAGGAGCTGAAAAGTAAAAAAAATTTCTAATAATTTGATTGCGGCCACTTAACGGTCAACCGTCTGTGTGAAACACATGCAACTGAAATCATAGCAATAAAACTGACGACAAAAAACATGCCGCTGGACAAAGCTAAGGGCATTTACTTGAAAATATGACCACAAGACATGAAGACAACTTACGTCTGAGTCAACCCGTGTGGCATGATCTTCATACACTTCAGGATCGTCGTTTCTCAGTTTTAAAAGTTGGTCATTCGATGGTTTTGGATAACTCAGCGTCATTGTGAAGGCTAGCAAAACACAACATGGTTGATTGCTTCTCTAGCAAAGTAATATGCAACCAGACGAAATAGTTGATTTTATATCCATGGTTTTTTAAAATGTAAACTATTCGCGTAAAGTTCCTTATATTCTTTACTGGTATTTCCAGGTTCACCGTGTTTGTACACATATCCTCACAATCGCCTGTAAACGAATTTGGGAATAGAAGCTCTCATTTTTATGTGAAAAAATGAGTTAACAATTCTGATATGTTGCAAGGAAAAATTCCCCGAGAGATTGATATGGTTGCTTGGCCAAGTACATCGAAGGTTGCTTTAAAATTGCTTGTAGAATAATGGCACATCTAAACAGACACTCATAACCAAAGGTCAGTCCCGGCTAGCAGTATGTATATACACCTACGTAGGTAACTGTTCAGTGCGCCTATATTGAGGCAAGGAGCCACATCCTTTTACAACGAGGCACAGACCATGCCATTTTAGTTATTGATCAAACGTTTACACAGTGATTACTCAAGTCAACGACCAATGATCGACCCCTCACGTAATATTTTGGGTACCGTGAAAAGTTGAGCAACACATCAAGCCGCATATTCTATTTTAGCTCCCCTTTGAGGACTTCGTGCAGTCCTCAACCGCCGTATAAAGTTCAACTGTGGAAAGCCAGTGTTTTGGACGTAATTACGTTCAAAAGTTTATGACCAGCCCTACATTGAATATATGGAATTTTGATTTTAGCCTAAAGTCTATTTGAGGATGAATCTGGTTTCATTTGCTGGGTGCCAAATCACATGAAGCCCACAACAAAAGCAAAGTTATATATAATAAGTTGCAGAAATTATATTTTCCATGTAGTCCTAATTCTAGGTTTGAAGATGTACTACAACACCAATAATTTAGCATATACATATAATCCATTTTGTAGGTCTGAATGGAGTAAAGAATTTTAAGCCCTAAATCCCAAGTGTGTAAACGGTATTTATAAACAATCATCGTTAACAAAGTTGGTGGCGACTAGCTGATCCCCCTTTCAGTGAATAAATGAGGAACGATCCTTTCGGTAGAACCAAGCAACAAGATATTAATTCGTTCTCTGCCCTCGGAAAAGCATTTTGAAATCAGTATCTGAAGACAATCGTTTTGTGAGTTTTATAACACTCCGTTTTGGGTACATGGGCGCTGATCACAATGTACTGATATCAGCAGGGCAATAGGTAAACTAGGTAGCAGGCACTAACGACTTCCAGACTATGTATATAATAAAAGTGGCGTCTCTTTAACTATTTAAATTGCTAATTCGACAAATGCAGATAGTTGTAAGTTAAAAAATTCGTTGAAGTGACATGAGTATAATAGCTTTGGAAAACGTAGACTAAGCTCAGTAAGCTAAAGTCGTTGACATACTACACGTTACCTGGCAAGGATCCAGTTAGCAGTATTCTTTGGAGGTGCGAAATTTAAAAGCTGTAGGTTATCACCTAGTCATAGTCAATTCTCGGCTTTTCGCTATGTACCGGCTTCAACTACGGGACGGGTTCTATACTGAACTTTCTCAAACCTGCTGAGCAACGCAAAGTTTGTCCATGGTTGTTAACTTGAAATATCTATCAAGGTTTGGGAAAATAAACATTCTTTGATCACTCATTCATGATCTGCTTAGGCGTTTTCAAGTAGGATGTCTTCTGGTCAAGATGTATCACTTAATGAGCAACAGGTTGTGATTGACAATGGAAACTTTTAATTTGTTCTGTTGGTTGTAGGCAGATAAGCCAAGATGGAACCTATAATTTGTCCGAATTTAAGCCAAAAGTACACAGAACTCACCAACTACCAAGACTTCCGTGTCAGTGACTGTGCATTCCTCAATGTGTTCTTGTATAGATCCAAGCCCCCAAATTACGCCACAATTGTTCACAAGCCGTTATCATGTTCGATGGAGCGAAACAGAGGGAAATATTTAAAAATGTTCGACAAAAGCACTCGCGAACTGAACAACTATTAAATATTTACAGTTATACTTGACCAAAGCAAACAGTCTACATACCTTTTTAAGAATGGGGTCGTACCGTAGAGGCAAGCAAAGCTCATTTACTGAAATATGAAACAAGCTCAACATTACCTGGCTCTGAATCACCAATCCTGAACTGTCAACAAACTTTTCTCCCACACACAATTTTGTTGCCACGCTCATCACTTTGTCCAATTATGCGGGACGTAATAACTCTCCTACCTTCTTTATATCTAACTAATAGTAAACACATGTTGTAGAGGCGCTTCGGATTGGATCGCAATACTTCTGTGCTGCATCTCATTTACCAACTCTGTCAGTCGAATGCTAGCCGAGTGCCACCGCAATTTTGGTTTACGGTGCTCGCGAAAGTGACAGCCGCTACACAGAGGTGGATAGCGTCGGACTCAGGAAGGTAGGCTCAAAGTGTACATTTTCAACCAGTGACCAACTATTTTCCTTATGCTGAGCAGTGTGTCACGCAGTGGTGAACAAAATCAACGGGTGAGTTAGCTTGCAAATCTATCTAGGAAGGAGCCTCCTGCGTGGGATTTAGTAAGCCTCCATCACATTATACTCTTCTATTAATCGTCATCAGCTCAATCTTGCTTTGTTTGTTAATGTTTATCTGGAAACACATAAAAGTTTAAGTAGACCATGTTCACTTTTGAATTTGAACGGAAAAACTTCTTCCAATTAAGCATGAATTCGGCAACCAGGAGGCAATATTTCCGGCTGCACTCCAGCGCCAATCTTCTCGTAAATGCCGTAATTACTTGAACTTCACATTTCAAGAGCTAACTAAACCCCGTAGGCGTTCCAGTAGTTTGGAATAGTCTTTTGAATATTTTATGGACGTTGGCACGCTGTATAAGTCATTACTGGAGCTGATGTGGTTACGGCTATCATGCCTTTAGGTTGAATCTCAAGGTATGACGGGGAAACAGTGTTAGCAATATTGTGGAATGTTAGTAGCTCGGGTGTGCTGTTTGGTTGTTGGTCTGTTCGCCGAGCTTAGCAGTTGAATTGCAAGCGTTTCATCACCAATCGAGGTGAGATCGTCAGTGCAGGGTTGAGTGGGAAACAGTGTCCTCGGTAGCTCAGTTGATGCGCACCCGGTAGGTAAGTGGGAAACCGAGTGTTCAGGTTGATCAAAGGGAAAACCTTCAGTTTACGTTGACTATACCGGAAATTCCCATTTTAGTAAATGCCAGAACCATTTATTGTTTGACTCTGAAAAAGTCAATTTCCCAAATCATCATTCAGATGGCATTCAGATGGTGTAACGTAACGAATGCTATTAACTACACTAAAGAAATGGAGAAAAATTGTATACCTTCTGTTTTGCTGCCTTGACCATGGTCCATTACAGGCCGGTGCATCAATAAGCACAGCAGTTTTCTACCTTAGATGATGAAAACAACGTTAGAAAAGATTTGATAAAAGCACCATCATTGCCATTCTTGTAATACTGATGGGTTCTATCACAAGTAAAACATCCCAGATCCGGCATGGACTGAAAGGAATAATTGTGTAAGTACAACATCTAGATTAATCACATGAGAGTGATGTGAACGGGAAGTCAAAACGCGGCCTTCAATATAGGTGTAATTGACATAAAATTCTCGAAATACACTCATTTGCAAACTAATTTGCTTTTGCGAGAGACTAAGGTGAATCTCTCGTTTGTGATGTGTATTTGGCTCATTTCGTGCAATTTGGTTTCAAGTAGAACATGAGGTTGACGGAAACTCGGGGACTGCGCCTAGCTGATGAGCCCCAAGAAGGGCGAAACCGGTCGTGGGCTGTCGACAAATTTTCAGCAACCTTATGAGCAGTGCACCACGAATAGATATAAGATTCCGTTATGATATTCAGTCAGATACTTACCCGTAATTTTTGGCACGATACCAAGTCTATCCACAGATTTATCAATGTTCCAAGCCAAAGTACACAATAACTTCCATAACTTTCGAACTTCCATGCCATCCGGTTCCTCGTAGGCCTCTAAGGAGTGCAAAGTCCTTTCTGGTTTCCTCATAAAAAAGTGATGCTCCGGTTGAATTAATTTGAAGGCTGATACTACACTAAAGGGTATGGATGCGTAGTGGATCTGAAAGAAGTTGGTGCGAAACTCGATTAGTTCGACAGTTTTCTATCAGTAAATAAAAAGATTGATACTTGCTTAAAAGAAGGCAGGCATGTAACTTTGTAATACGCATATAAACAATAACAATGTCTCGAACATATCCGAGTTTTTTTGTAAAACTATACTTCTATCAAACATATTTCTTCACAAAACTCCGCATTCACAGCCCAGACGCAGTAAAAAAATCATTTAGCCACAATTTCAAACTAGAGGAAGCAATTTCTACAATCATTTTGGAATACTTGCTGCGCTTATGAGCGTAAAATCATTTTTGACGGGTCATTTTGACTATGCATTTCTACGAGATGAACTGAATCAACAATAATATACTTTTGGCTAGGTCGAACAGACGCATCCGTGCCAACCATTTGGATACAGATTTTTCACAACACATTGTGTATTCAGCTACCAAGCCGTCGATCATTGAGTGAACTCCGATAAACTGGTCAACACAGAGATTATGGTCGCTTTGTTGTGATGTCCGAAGGAAATACAGGATAATTAATGACTTAACAAACAAGTAGAGAAGTGCAGTAACCTATCGGAAATGATCGGATTGAAATTATTCCGCACGACAACAGCAAATCGGTTGTTTCGGTAATTCCTCACAACTTCCGTACAAAGTATAAATGTAGGAATTGTGAACATCCGAAAGGGATTCGGTGGTCATCTCGACTTGAAACAATGGACAATCACAGGTGATTTGTGTGGATCAAAAGGCGATGGTGATTGATGACTCTGATTGCAAGTGGGACGAGGCAAATGTTCCTACTGGTTCGTATGAAGGGGGCTGGACACGAAAAAACACATCTACGCAGTTGCCGTTTGACTAAAGCGATCAGTCGCCAAAGGACATGAGGCATCAGTAAAGCACCGCAATTATTTGATAGTTGTACGGGGTCGACCAACTCCTAGAGAGGGCAGGATAATTTGAAGTGTCCCTTTAATTAAAATACCAGTACCACATAACGTCTAATTTCGTCACCTCTTAGATTCCTTAGGCCAAAGTCTCCAGGTGCCATCATTGTAAGTTGCTGTATATTTGTCATACGTGAACCGACATGGTCTCCTACACATGAACTAAAATTGTGCGACAATTACTACGGCCGCCTGTTTTCTTCGGCAAAACAAATTGGCACACAGATCACCCAAAATCAAGTGTTCCTACCCCGTCCATGAAGACTTCCGAACACGGATGCTTGAGGACGAAAACACTATTCTGTTTGATCTTCAAATAGCATCCCCTAAAAGGTTGCACCAGAATTTCCGATTCTGCCGCATTTTTCATGGTGAACATTGAGTTAGTCCTATTGATGCCCAAATCTTCTGCCTCATCTAAGCATAGATTTGCCCAGTAATTTCTATCCTCAGTTTGGAAGGCAAACAAAGTACCACAACAGGTTAGGAAAGTGCACCGTCTGATTTCGCTTGTTTACTGGGGAGTCTGGCTGGTGAATTAAGATAATCTCAAGACCTTCACGTGGCACAGTGCTCATCGTAGGACGACTATGGAACTATTTGGTGGCAGTCAGTAAGTCACTCGGAAGAATTCCGTCCGATTTGTCTGGTGAGTGGTAAAGTGCCCGGTCGGTCCAGTCCTCATACACCTTAGTTAGTGAACAGTAAATCTCTCGACAAGATGCCGAGTCATGCAGTCGGCTCACATTCCTGAAGATTAGGAAGCAATGAACAAATCGTTACAGAGGAATCATGAAGTGAGTTCAGTGTTGACCACTGGATCACAGCTCAACAATACCCTTGACTTCGGTGCACTAATAGTCCACTTGAAGACAAGGGCTGGCAAACCGGTCAACCATATAGATTTTGAAGAATACAGGGATAGGTTTTTAGAGGAAGATAGATTAAATGGAGTTGCAAGTTCGACCGTAGGTTTGGGGTGGCTTTTTTCAAACTGCCACGTATATCTGTTTCCCTTTAGGTTTAACGAATAAGCCGTAGTTTCTTATCAGGAATATCGTTGTAGATTTGACTGGTTCTGTAAACCAGTTATTTATAGAGTATCTCCTATAGTGGACTACCAAAACGCTGCGCAAATCACTGCGTTTTCCAGACCATTTGAACTAAATGACTCGCCTTGCCTCCTTGTCAATAAGACATTTAGGAAGTGGATTTAGTCCTCCACATTTAAACCCTGTAATGTGTGAGCGGTGCTAACACACTCTATGGGACTTGTCATCAGATTCGTGAATAGAAAACACATCTTCCATATGTTAATGCTTCAAAGAATGTTAAGAACTGCCGAGGTGATTACCATCCGGTTAGTGGTCCCCTCCGTGCCACCGATATAAGCATGTGAAGGTTTTCAGCCTGCCTTGGCCCACCAGTCACGATTCAAGTAAAGAAAGTAATCAGAGAGTGCACCCTTTTAACCTACAGTGAAGTCTTCGGTACCACTGTCATCCTTTTTTTAGATCTTATTTCCATATACACCAGAAAAGCTGCTGTCGAAACCACACGTTTGTAAGGCATCTCGTTTTCATTTATAAAAATGATACGTCGCTAACTGGCCTCACCGTTTCAAATTCATCATTTGTATTCAGCTTCTCAATATTGTATACGCTTATTATTAAATTGCAATGTGGCCTAACTCACGCTTCATCATGGAATTTCAGCAGACCGGACCGTTTGACTCAACCAATCGGGAAAGCTTGATTTTTGGACCGAAACTTTCACCCTCTTCAGAGCTATGTGGATGGATGGATGCCCACAGTGGTGGCTTGGCTACGTCCGCAGCATTCGAATCATGTATCATTTACGTCAAATGTATCTGACTGTCCGTACTTGTCAGGATGTCGGGTCTAGCTGACGCTGCTTATCTGTACAATCGTACAGATGTGCGAATCGGTGCGAATTCGTGCATCAAGATGATGGAACTTTTCTGTCAAGCCCCACATCCCCGATCAGTCAGTAACATCGACGACTGCCAACATAACTCGCGGATATATATGTTTTCCCCATATGCTTTTGTTGTACGAAGAAAAACTCCAAAATTAGGATGAATATCGCAACTGGTTTACCTAAAGTTGATGATTTATTGGTCAGAATGGAGGACGGTTAACTCCACAACTCTAAGAGAAACTCTACTATACATGTTTATTTCCTCCATATGACAATACTTACATACTTTTGATAAAAATTGGTGCACTTCTAGCAACCAGGAACTGTCTGGTTCTCCTAATGCTCCTTTCAACAGATGTACCTTTTCCTGATGCAAATGTAAACTACTTTGGCGAACTTTTAGTAACACGTACCGCTACGGCAACGTCGTATACAACGACACATTGCGTGTTTCGACAACCACGTCGTTTCATCCTCTAATATATGACTAAAAACCTGCTGGTGATTTACGTTTCACTATTCTGGTAGCTCACATCATTTTATTTAGCCACGGGAGTTGATATCTTTGCACCTGCATCGTTGTTTGAATGTATCATCCGGTACGCCTAATTCACTACTGGTCACTGAAACACATTTTGTTCGCCTATCTTTGATTGCAGTCAACCTATGCATCAACTCATCTGCTTTCTTTGATTAAACGAATCAGGCGAGCCCCTTCCACACCCACGTCATAACCTATCGGAGTTTCACAAGTCCGCATTTGTTCATTCATCACCCGCAAACTTCCAAAAATAACTGGCGAGAAACATTTAAAATAAAGTTATCAAAACACCCCTCAATCCTTTCAAAACACTTCTGTTTTCTTCCCGTTTTTCCACTTTATGAGAATGTATATCTTGGACAGAGTGCAGACAATGTCTTAGACCCAGCAAATGGCCTCAAGATTTTCCAACGATGTTCGTTCATTAGATGCGTTACTGAGCAATGCATCCAAGTGAAGTGAATTTAAATGTCCTGACAAGCGCCACTTACTGATGGTCAACACATTTTAACATTGCATTGTTCACAGCCACACCACTCTCATTTGAACGGCCGTGTTCCTGTTCTGGCGTAATTGTTGTGGTGAGTCCACACCAAAGGGAAGCGCTGGACTCGAGTTTCACTCCTATTAGAGCTCATCAGCAGTGCACATCCAATGGCCGCGCCGGGATTTGAACCCCGGACATCTGATATGCGATGCAAGCCTGTAACCACTACTCCACCAGCGCACGTTGGATGCATCTGAATTATCACGTCTGAACAGGCGAACGTGTTCACACTTGAGCTATGTGATTGGTGTGCCCGACTCATCGAACGACGACCCAGTAACTGTCCTGGTTGTGACGATCGATTGACCCGCCAGTCAGGACTTCCCAGTCAGGTAGCGTGGCACATGCTTGAAACCCACTGGGCAGATTTTTGTTTGCAATTTTGGGGTTTTGCGGGGTTCAAATCCTGGCGCGGTCATTGAATATGCACTGCTGATGAGCTCTAATAAGAGCGAAACTCGAGTCCAGTGCTTCCCTTTGGTATGGACTCACCACAACAATTACGCCAGAACAGGAACACGGCCGTTCAAACGAGTGGTGTGGCTGTGAACAAAAATACCTATCCCGCAAAAACCCCAAAGTTTAACGTTTCAGTTTGAAATTTACATTTGTCATGTTACTTACCAATTTATCAACTTTCTGTACGCCATTGTCGTCCCCATCGGAATAGGCAAGTCTAAATTTGGTAACTAAAAACAAAAAAAAATAGGTAAAACCCTGGGTAAACAGTTCCATTCTAACGATATTGTTCAGCTTGGATCGTACGTACTTAGGTCACTAATAAGGACATTTGATTCATATAGCTATGCTCACACTCGCACTTAGTAAAAAACAGGAGCTATGCAAGCTAAATAAGGGCAAAGTGCAAGTGCATGAAAATCAGTGGCAGTCTAGACAATCTAACATCTGAGGGCGGACTTATAATGCAAGCTACGTGGCCAAATCTTTTCGACTTCAAACTAGAAAATAAAAATTGGGTCTTCGCCTTGTTCTCAAGCATTCAAAAGCAACTCGAACCCGATGAGATAGGTAGCATTTTACTGGAAATTTTTTATCTTAGTGAAGCAAATCCACGTTGAAAAATGCTGGAAAAAAAACTGCTAAATTTTCCAAGCTTCTTCACACTACCAATAACCTATGGATAGTGTAGAATTCACCCAATGGGCAGAGCTTGTATCTGAAAAATTGCTGCTCGTATATCCAGCCAACACGTATGATCAGTTGTTGTCAATTCGTCGACTGAAGAATGAGCGACACTATATCATATCCAAGTGCGAGTTGAGCATACTACCGAACAACGGCTCGTAGCGGATCGGTCTTGCTTTCGAACTCTTAGCTTGGAGGTTATGGATACCAAACTTAATAATTCCATGAGGTGTGTAACGCTGAGGATCCACAATAAAGATGAAGCACCTGAACAGTGCTTCGCAGCTTTTACTGTTGATTGGCTTCAATTGCAGGAGGAAACCTCCACTAAAATTCTCATATCTCATCCTAGTGACAGGTGTGACAAGATGACATTCATGAACAGTACCGAAAGAGGGCTTGGTGTACACGCTAACAGTTCTTCTACCAGGCTAATGACAAACTGCACGAAAAAATGAAAATCATGAATGAATTGACAAGTTGACCAAGACCGTGGCAAATGGGGCGTGAAAATAATACGTGTTTCGGCTCCGCAGGTACACAGTGATTCTTTCGCCCAAAGGCAACGGTTAACAGACCATTCGGCTACTGTTACGTGACATTCGTATACCCATCGGAATGTGGCGACGTACAGTAAGATATTCACTAAATTGGGAAGTTCTTGAGCAAGTTGAGGTAGACGACAACCACTGATATTGCACCAAAAAACAGATGCTGTACAAACTGAGTTTTCGAAAACTTTGTCTGTCCTCCACGTTTGTGCGCTTTTTATTCACATGTAATTCGCCGTACTTTGACACATTTGAACAAACGGGGACTTCCGACTACAAAATTGCGCTGTTTGGGTGGGTTACTCAATGCGCCAGGTGTTCAGCTATTCGAAGAGCTTAATGGCAGATTGCTTAAACGTAGATAAAAAAAATCTGATCGACCCATGAAAGACTTATTCATGAGTGTTTTCTGAAACGTTCATAGTTAGCTCTATGGTTTTCTCGTCCAACCATGCACTTAAATAGCTATCAGATCACCTTAAGCTATTAAAGCTGGCTACTCTCGCTCTGAAAGTGCAACTGTGGTGTCACACATCACAACCGACGATTTACGGAGTCCAGTCTTTTCTATTCCAGTGTATTACAAGTTAAGTTATTCAGAATTCTAACTTTCTAACTTTGCAGTTTTAGGGAAAATCTGACAGAAAAGCCTCATGAGGACAGTTGTAAGCGAAATAATGCGCCGATCACAAGTTCCCTGCAGTTGAACGCAAAATAAAACAGAAGATTGCCAACATGTGCCTGGTCTGACAACCGTGAAACTGTCCAGACAAATTTCGTCTTATTTTGGGCAACAAGCATAATAAATCTTAGAATACTACTTTCTAGTAAGGCCGATCAACGGAAAAGTAATAAAACCCACCCTCATCCTTTGGCTCTCATCACAAGGGACGAATTTGGGTCTTTAAGACGTTTTCTTTCTAAACCAGAACTAATGTAGCGTGTCTTTGTGTTTCTCAAATAGCGTTTATTTTTTGCACAGGAAAGGTATTAAGACAGCTGAGTAAGTGCCGGTGGACCAATTGGTACGAAATTATTCTCTGAATTCGGAAGACCAAAGCAGCGTTTGCCAAACCGTTAAATTTTGGTGCCGACGATGACATCAGCTTCGCTGATAACGATAGAATATACACAGCCGTTGTCCCATTTGTGGTTTAGGGGGGTGGTCACTGCATGTCAGAATCCCTTGATGGTTCTGTGCGTTCGCTCATCGATGCGTGTGAAGCATTCCGCGGGTCTGACTGGAACATCAGATCAGCACTTCCGAAGTACCGCAGGTGGTTTTCCGGAAATTTCGTTCCCGCTAAAACTGATAAGCTGGTCACACCTCACAGGTTACTCTGGATGAGCCTTGTTCTTCATGGAGTGAGGAGCGTTTGCTTCTAGGTCCCTTACTCAGCCTTGAATTCAGATTGAGACAATCCAGGGGCGGCCCACCCATCGCATAGCAACTAGATCTTGCCCGCCAACTCAGTCACGTTTGTGGCTGGAACGCGGGACGAGCCAAAACACAGCTACTGGTCCTGAAAGATGTGGTTGTGTAATGCAACCAATGGCGCTCCAGCGTTAATGCCACTGCATTCGTTGCATAGATCTCACTACATTTCATACCTGACAGACAAAACCATTTGGAGTCAGCGGAACGACAGGGTAAGCGTCCTAACATGTGGATTGCAGATCCCATCTCTTTATGCTCTTTATCCTCGGTGCACGAAGTTGCAGCAATTTGGTGAATGGCTTTTGGGGCCAAAAGTTGAGCTGAACCGAACCCAACCGAGCTGACAACTGCTCAGCTATCGATAACTCTGATAATCTCTGTGCGCACATCTATGGTGAAGGATCCTTGCCATTCTGCTACAACTGGTCACAAGCTATAGAAAAATATCATGAAACAAATTTCGGAGCTCCGCTAATGACGGTGTTGCATGAACTTTGAAATGCTATGAGACAAACCGTGGAACAAATGAGCTAAATTACCTTTCAGGGATTTTCTTGTCAATTTCACACACCCATCAGGTATTACGTAGTGTGGGACTGCAAAGGAAATAAGTATGTTCATTAATTCCGGTTGATACAATCCATTCTGTCCACGGAAAGGATGCAGATTGTATCGCTTTGTAAAATTCTACATGTTAAACTTTGTTGTGGGAATTTTATTAGTTACTCCACATGAGCTGTAAAATTTTCAGTTCATGGGTAATGGACATTGAAAGTAACGAATGATTTGATAAAAATTCGCATTTGATAGTTATCTTACTGGTCTTGCTGCGCTTCGGACTACCGTGAAAGTTATAGACGCTATTCTATATAATTTCTGCAGGTAAAACGTGGCATATTCATCACAAGTAAACGGTAAAAAGACCTCAGCTGAAGCCCCAAATTCGATGGACACATCAATACCTTACATATAACTGGTGTACATCAGTGGTCTTGTAAAATTCTTCGCATGTTCGTAAGATTATTCTTTGGAGAACAGCTACTTGTATATTCATGAATTTTGGCTAGACAGTGTCAACATGATGAACACAAAATGCGCTGCATGAACCCCTTCGAATTAGGTCATTTTTAATTTTTCATGTCCAAATGAGAAGGTTATACAACCGGAATTATAGATTATTTCAATTCCACGCATGTATCTAGCTACGTGCAATATGATGTCATGTTCAATACCGGTAACCCCCCTGTGAACACTTTCATATGATCACATGAGATTCCTTTTGTGGCTGTTAACACCTGTTTATATTACGAGATGCCCATCAAGACCGCTATAGTTAATTTACCAATACATTGGTGCTTGACTGTAGATCAACATATAGTACGAGTCAAAATCGTACATTCTAAACACTTAGTTTCCACGTACTTTTATTCTTCGAAACGGGCAGCAGGCGAATCCTACCACAGCATCAGCTGTAGGGTAGGAACATACGACATACCGTCCACGCAGAGGTTGATCAAATACCAAAGGAAAAGTACCCGTGGAAATCTAGTAAATTTACGCATTGAATGAGTTAACTTACACCTTCTGACAACTACGACATAAGCATTCTGCTTTCATCGAACAACGCTGGCTCGATTTCCTCCTGGAGGGTCTTCTTTGATTTGGTTCTTCGCTGGACTTGAGGGGGAGTGTTTATGAGTCAATCACATTTCAAGTAAAATTTCGACTTTGGGAGAAGTCTTGTACGTCACTTTGTTGCTATGCCTGAATTCAGTGTATTAAATGGTGGTACTTAAGGGTGTAACGACTTGTCATCTCCGCTCTCGACATTATAGTGGATTGTTCTTTACGCGTTTCTGACAAACTTGATGTCTACCCACTCTCATTACGTCCGATCAGAAACCACTAAGTATGCACAAGAGAGAATACACTTCAGCTCATGTAACATGGCTGATGTTGGATAACCCAACTACCTCTGCTGTACAACCTGATATGCGCAAGCTTTCATGTTTGATTGCAAGAGCTTCTAGGTCTAACCAAAAACATGAGACTTTCGGTTGATCCAGTCAATGATAATTCATACACATAGTAAGTTGCGCTGCATGCCAAAGGTAAGTGGAAAGTTACGCTGGCACCCTACACGTATGGGATAGCACCATGATCGAACTGACTGTCAGAGCAACTTTACAAACATCCTATGGGTGGTCCACTGTGTGTACGAGCACCGTCAGTAAGCCAGAATTGGTGCTTTGCTTGAACCTAGTTGAGACAACCTATTGTCACGTAACGACTGAGAGCAAACTCTTAAATGAAAGCAGAGCAGATGAACCTACATATTTTGTTCTGGCTTCCCCATGTTATGTTAGTACCAAATTACCGCCTGCACCCAGTTGGCCATTGAAGCTATAAGCCCAAGCATCGCAGCTCAGTACCTTTCTATCATAGATGTTGGGTCGTTATTCGTTAGTGTGTCGTTCCATACTGACGTGTAAAGATCTACGGGAAGCTCTCGCATGAGTTCACCACATCAAGTGGTATCAGGCAGGGCTGTCCTGTTTCACCTTTCCTCTTCAACTTCGTCATGGATACGATTATGGAAGACTCACTGTCCGTCTTCATAGTCGTTTGCTTGTCTTCAGTAATTTGCTGTGAATTCTCAATCGTCACTTCAACTAAAATCTTCAGCGTGTAATACGGTGGCGATTTACTGCATTGTGTGGGTACCCATCAAGTAATCATTCAATAGGTTTGCGCATGTTGTTCGGTGCTGACAAACTCTGTAGGTGCACCACGTCAAATAGATTCTTCAACGTCATCTACCGTTTTCTATCTGGCTGTTCTGGGAATACAAATTAATCCATGATTAGAATACTGGTCACTAAAATTCCCGTAGATGTCAGAACTTACAGGCACAAATTTGTGTTCAGGAGCGCGTGATCCTAATTTTTTTTACCTGGAACGGTCTACACAATCCAGATATATGGTCACCGATCAACAGGCACCACTTTGATCTAGGATGGCAATAGTCAAGAAAAAAGAATAGAAACAATAGCGGCTAGCCGGCTATAATATTCATACAGGATGACTTAATTCGAATAAAATGGAAATCCGAGTTAACTTGTCATATGGTGGCTTGGGAAACAAGCCATCTGTTGTCCCTACATCCAGCGCTTTGAACCTTCTCCATAAGATATTACCTAAAATATCAATGACAGTATACAAACTAGATAACATGCATGAAATATTTTGTTAAAGTGGAAATGAGCTTCACATATTTTATCCTCATACCGGGATTGTCCTGGTATCAACAAAAGTGCATACAGTAACGCTTACCGCTCGTCAGTATGGCTTCATGCCTAGAGGAGGCTGAAACAAAGTGGAAAAGGACATCCTGTCTTTTTATGCTACCATTTATTTTTTCTTTCAATGGTAGGGAAGTCTTTGGGTTGAGAGTACTACAACTCCAAAATTTTTGTTGTTTTGTCGGGTTGGTACGCACCTGGAGTTGGGCGATTCACCACTTTTGGATTGGCTGAAGGTAGGAAAAAGCATAAATTTAGGCTACCATGGCGCAAATACTATGCTGAACATCTAAACTTTTATCAGTTTAAAAGGAATGCAAAACAATGGAGCACTGTGTTCATGTACACTATCGCTACATGCCATAAACTGGGCAATGCCTTGTGAGAGCTGCGTGAGAAGCTAATGAATAAAGACAGGTATAGAATTAGGCTGTACACTGGTCCTTTTATGAGTGCACCCAAAAAATCTTTTCTTTGGAGGTTTTTGTTCCTTCGTGCCTTCCCGAAAGTTACACTGTAAGGATGCCCAAGGTATTAGTCCGAAACAGCGAAATCTTTCTATCCGCGGAATCAGTGTTGAGTCCCAAGCATCGCTGTGCAGTGGTATCTATAAACGAAAGTTTGAAGATCATTTATGGCAAACAGATTTCCGGAGAATTTTGATTCTTGGGTAATTTTAAACATACGTTGGCACTTTCGAGACTTTACAATTGCGCTGACGTTATAAAAGTCGCGAAAAAGGCTGTTGAAACCTGTTTATTTTACTCACATCTTTCGCACTTCGCATATATCTGCCGCCTTTAGCTGATCTTATCATTGCCGTGTAACTATAATTAAGTCCGAATAGGGGGATGAGGAGTCAGGAAGTTCTTGATGGAAAGCCTGTGCTTCTCTAAGGATTGTCCACTTGGTTTTCCCACCTGCAATACACGATGTTCCGAATAGCCACATATGTAAACCAACATTCCCTTCTGAATATAAGCAGTATTCATTCAGGCATCTTACTAAGCCTCCAAGAATTTCATGCAGATTGCGACTTCAAAAAGCTGTTTTCCATTCAGAAGAATAAGGACAAAGATCATGAATGCCATCTTTGAGGCACTCTTCACTTCACAGAAAAGAAGTCGTATTTTGATTTGCGAGGAATCTTCCTTCCAGTATCATCCTTTTGAATAGATGGAGCTCGGTACTAAGCAAGCTTAAAATACTCAGTCTCCAGCGTTTGACCTTTTTTCAAGCCCAAACAGCTGCATCTGCAGTTCATAGCTGAATCACGCTTGAGGTTTTCATGCGTTAACTGGTTCATCATTGTCAATGGCCGCAACGCACCGATGAGGAACACTCAAAAATGAACTTCGCACATGAGCTATGCATTTCAGTATCAGCTAAAAGTCAGACAGTTTCAGAAATTTTGTGAATGCCGCAATGCTAATGAGAATCGACAACGTAAATACATCACTAGCTTTGCCTTCTATCGATCAGTCTTGAATGAAAAATGTCCGAAACTCCCCACACTCTTATAAACCAACCGGCTTTTTTTAGGTATTTTGCCTTCATCGCGGTTAAACCAAGCGGTTCATCAACGTGCCAGCTACCGCGGCTTTCTCATTTGTACCCACAAATGTGTAATTGGACAGGAGTTCAATGTCCCCTGAGTTGAAATTTCACTTATCTCTACATAAAATCCCTGCAAGCTCCAAGTTGAAGGTGATTTCCTCTGCTGATATAACATCCGTTGGACAATCTTCTATTAATAAATTAAATTTCATACAATCCTTGGAGTGCACCTTGTACGAGAACTGAGTGTACCTGGATGATTATTGCTGCCGTATACCAGATCAGAGAGTCTCATAGCCACCCATCTATGCATACACCTGATAGCAAAGGGAATCGAAGTGTAGTTCACGTAATTCCTGCAATCTGCGATAAATATCCCATTCATTATGAAACCAAACTACAAACAGACCATACGATAAACAAGGCAGTGAGCTTCGGCCTCCAGACTCTTAATATCATTAAGTACTCATTCATCGATCGAAAAGTCCAGTTTTCCTCATATTCGATCCTGAAATGCAAAACTGTCTAAACGCCTTAATTTTATGTGATCTTATGAGTTGCGAAGAGCTCTTGAAGTAAAATGTTCAACAATTTAAATAAATCTACGTCGTTTTTATAAGAGGCGCAATTTTCAAAGTATGCGAATGATGTAGTCATAGCGTAGTGAAGAGTGAAATCCTCAGAATTAGCCGGAAACAACCAGGTGGTCGGAATACATACCCTGAAATGGACAAACGAATTGGGACACCTAGACTAGGTTTATGCTATAAAATTACGTTGTTAGTATCTTCGCTGTCCGAATTCATTACACTATATAGAATAGACAACTTTTCCGCGCTTGTCATCAAGTCCGCTTTGCAAGAAGGGACATTCTGTCTCTATAATTGTTTTATACACATAAACACATCCACCTTACTCTTTACTCCAAAAGGCTGTAGATTTGTCGACTTGATCGCGGTGCGTTGTCTTCACCTCGGTTCTCACTAATTTCCCCTCTTGCGGAAAGCCTTTAACAGTTTCAACGACTAGTTTCTTTAGGCCCATAATGCAGTTCACCCTAATGTGATAAGATCATTTAGATGTTCGACTCTGGGTTCTTTATTGTCCTTACATATCGTCACTATACAATGGTGTGCAAAATATCGGTAACCCTAAATTCACTCGAAAGCATACTCTATCAAGCTCATGGGTGTGAGTTTACGCACGGACTTTTTTTGGCCCAAACATGAGGGATCAACAGTCTTTAGATTAAAACAGCATTGTGTTTATTTCTGAAGTTTAAAACAGCGGTCCTTGTCATATCATTTTTAACTTTGTAATCATCATCAATCCCCGACTCTGGCTCTAATGTTCTTGAGCTGCTGTGCTGGTCTCAAAGATGAACATGTCGTTACGGTCACACGATTTCTCAAACCTTCAGACCTACTCACCTCACAGCGCTCACTTTTTTCGAAAGAAATACACCTGGTAGCCAAATCCCCAGTACAGATAATTTGTATCCAACAATGGTAGCACGCATACGTATTACACAAATGAGATGTTGTCATCCAGGACGATAAACAGCTTGATAAATACATACCATCCGCAGGTAGAAGAGAAGTCAGCAGCTGAGTGAGTTTCCTGTTGCAAACTGCATCAGTTCCAAACGCTGGAAGCATTCTTGAATCCAGAGTTATTGGAGTAGGCATGCTTGAATCTCCACACCGTATTAGATTGTTTCCAAACAGAAGCGATTCTTTAAGTGTCTCCTGCAATGGGAGAATAAATAAAGGAGGGGAGTGAAAACGCAAGGACATTAAAGAAAATGAATTTTTTCATTTTTGTTTGCAATCCTCTGGATGTTGTTTTACCCACAAGTACTTTTTAAATAGTTTTCAAGAAGTAAACTACAGTGTATGCTAAATATGTACTTTCCAAACCAACGAGTTCTTCTTTCCATGAAAAACTGGTGTGGGCCGACCAAAACTGTTTTCCTCTAACCTCTGGTGTCTCTACGGATAGATATAGAATTATCGGAAACTTTGAGAGGGAAGCAATCCAAGTCTAATCCCTCTATTTGAACATTTTGCGGAGCATATTTTACGAGACACCAGTTCGTTCGGCCAATGGGACTAACAAGCGCACCCTACCAAATCCTATTTACAGCGCAGGAAACTCTGAATATATTTAAAAAAGAAGCATTCTTGGTGCGTTCGAAAGGCCGGTAGTGTCCCAAGGTACCTATCAGTTTTGTCCAAAATTCATTCCAAATTCATTCGATAATTGCAGGCCATTTTTTTCTATTTTCTTGACTCACTCTTGCTGTGATGATAGCTGTCACATTGGCATTAATGCAGCCCACATTCTCATGCCACTGTAGACTAAACCGTTCTAAACCCATACAATACGCCCTAGATTTGTATTTCGGTTATCTCGACGTACGCAGTGCTGATAAGCTTGCTCGCTGCGGACACACCTCATCAGAGGGACAATAGTCAGTTGTCTTTTGACTTCATCAGGTCACATTCCCGGATCACCTGTAATCCGTCATTGCGACTACTACTACATCATCCATACACCTTTAACAGCCCATCCGGATTCATACTCTGTCAGATCCTTCGCCGAAATTGTTTCATTTCCTTGTTCATTCATCTCCATCCATTTCACCCACGCTGTCCTCCAAGAGTATCCTCTAGTCTAACTCTCCTCCCGGCCGAAATGACATGTGCCAGTCGGTTTCTTCTTACCACTGGATAGCGTCACTCTCAATTTTCAACTTACTTGCTTACTAACTAACTAACTAACTAACTAACTTACTTACTTGCTTACAAAATTACCGGTATGCTCTACGAATCCATATTACAGATTATCACTCACTTCACGGAATCCAACAAGCCTATCTCTCCGATGGGTTATTAACTTCAGTGTTGGCGTGGTGAAGAGAAAGAATCAACTGGGTAAACGCTGGCGAACATATTCATTTTCAGACACACGTTCTCACTACATGATTGTTTGTAACCTTTCTGCCAGCATCGGTAAAAGCGAGGACATATTTGTTATTCACCCGCTAAAATTGGTTTGTTCTGGAGTCCTTCAAAGCCGTCGGTCGGAACTTTTCACATTTCTATTGATTTCAACGGAGATGTCGAATCCCTACCGCATGGATTGGCTGAACTTTGCACAGTATTTCTCCTCCACTTCAATCATATTCCACCCACCCCTCTATCCATCATCCAGCAGCGCCTACTGGACAGTTCCTAAATCTCTTGTTTTCGCTGTCACTACAAATTTTCCCGGTGTCCATCGTATGCTCTATTTTCATTCTGAGTTTGCGCCACAAAACTCGCACCCACTATTTCCCTCAGATTCTTCGTGTCCCAATCCAGAAGTGTGTTAGCCTTCCTCTTGCTAAGCCTTACTTCTACTGCCTATCTTAAAAAGTGGACACTTTTTGACCCTAAAAAAGTGCGGCCACATTTGATCCAAAACTTTAAAGTCTATTGGTGCCAAAGCACTTTTACCTGTTACACAGCACGATGTCCCCTTGATCGAATGCACATTCGTCCATGCGCTACTGCTGTGCCGTTGACTTATTGGCGTATGTGCTCCACAACTGATCTACCCTAAGTTCGCATAATAAAAGTGTACTGCTTCATTTGGATAATGGCCTGGTCACCAAATCATACATCCACCTTCATTTAATCAGCCAGACTGGATAGACCCTTGTAAACCTGTGAATCCCTGTGAGCCTCCACGACTTTGTTCCTAGTTCACTTCACCCCGCGAGTGAATACCACCTCTTAGACCTCTACTGAGCATCAAATCTCCTCATATCAACTTTTCTCAGTAAGAAGCTCAGAGGAAGAATAATTTCACAAGATGAGGGAAACTTCCTTCTGTGAAGTGGTTACTTGAGGAGTTAGTCAACAAGTGAATATTTGACGTGGCTTTCGTGATTGCAGGGCAAGTGACATTAGGCTTCAGCTAAGTCTGAGCCGGGATGAAACAGCCGTAGAGTGCTCCTTAGAATGACTTCAGTGACAGGAAGAAACATCTACTAAACATTACCGATTCCCCTCATATCATAATCACTTTCCAGGGCATTTGATGATTTGGCAGTGCTCAAAATAGTACGAGTGCAGATGACAGGAAAATACTCGCCGCGTCTCTGCCTGGCACTAAGGATACGCGGGCAAACTTCCACCAATTGGCGCCACTTAGAGAAAGACATCTTATTTAGAATGAGGGCAATTCTTTCTCAATTCTTCTTCAGCAGTATCTTGAGCATTACTCGATGTGACTGTCTGTGACTGGCAGCTTACCGTTGTCGGCAGGCGCGCCTGTGAAAATATTTACATCAGTAGATCTGGTTTCAATTGCGGGATCCTGTTGACAATATCATCTACTGGGCAACGAAGGAGCAAGAACCAAATGAGTCCTAGACAGGGCGGAACATATGAACATCTGACTCGTCCAGGTGCTCTGAAATCGGAGTTTTCACAATTTATGAAGCATTCCGTAAGTGAAGTCAAGAAACGGAGCTAGAGTTGTGTTTGTCAGGTTAAATAATAACAATCCAACTTATTGAAATTATACGTCCTAGACACAGCTCAATGGATTCGAGAAATATATTTTTTCGCTGGACTCTTTAGTCAAAAACATTTGCTTGTATTCCTTTAGTTTATCTTAGGGTAAGGAGCTAATTTAATCTGTCGAAAACCAAATTAACCTTTCCTTTTTGCCAAAGAAGGAAAAGCTCTCTAAAATTACAAAACAATATGCCGCAAAAGTTTCCACTTTTTGTTTGCCGTAAGCTGATTTCAGTTCGGTTACAATCTGAATACATTTAAAAGAGGAACGATCAACACCAACGTTCAACCTAACAAGGACGACCCCTCACATGTAGTACAAAAATGTGTTTTATCGTTTTCATTATCGGAATTCGACAGAAGAGGGATATATATACATATATTGATCAAAATAACTAGTCACTGTTTTCAGCTGTCCTTGTCGGCTGAAATGCACAGTTGTCTGATGTGTGGGGAAGAGGTTCATTTAAGTCCATGGTGGTGTCATTATCCACACAATGCTTTCAGCTGCAAAACCTTTATAGATGGAGCAAAAGTTTATACGCCGAAATGTTTCATTCTGTTGCGTATGTGCTCAAACAAGAAACCTTCCTAATATACGCTCATATTTTTGCAGCTCACCAAATTTCACTGTTCACTGGAGCATCCTGCTGAAAAGTCTTGTGGGATAATGTCCCAGCATCGCTGGGACCTCGGGATGCCTAAATGGGGCTTCAAAAGTTTGGACTGGTGCTCTCAACTCAACTGCCCGATTGCCTTAGTCCACCAGAGACATGACATAACTTTAGAAAATTCAATTCCATTGTTCAACTACTGAGCGCCATCCATGGTCATGTGGTACCGACGACTTCGTATGAGCGCGCAACTAATATTCACGAACGCGTCATTTTTGCGTAGCGTGTGCATGCTTTTGGATAGCAAAAATTATGGTGGACTTTTACGATAAACAGCTGAAGTCACACAGAGTACTTCATTGAAACGGCAAAGCTCTGGGCATACTGATAAAACGGTATGAAAGTAGGAACAAGTGAGATTGCTGAAGGTGTGATTTTTAACATGGTACGAATGTAAGTTAACCTGAAGCTGACCCCATTTTAGAGTTGCCACAAAAGTTTAAGTTCATGTTTGGTTAGTGACGGATGTGTGCCACCTGCAGGATTACACCAAGTTTTCTATCTGTCATCATTCTGAGTCCTCAACAGGCACCCAAAAGTGCTAAGCCGGTCAACTGCCACATGAAGAATGATTTAGGCAAAGTTGATTTCGGAAGTAAAAAGGATCGTTTGGGGATTTTCATTGTCACATGAGATGATGTGCAGCATTTTACTTTATTAAGCATTATTTTCTATTTTGAATGCGCAATGTCAGCTATTGTTAATCACTAATCTGTGATCTTCTGACAATCACTTATTGGAGTACACCAGGGCTCTATTCTATAGACCCCCTGTTCACTCAATAATAATGTGATCGCGTCATTTGCTGTTTCATTTCTCTAGATTTCTATTAAGCCCCGTGAATTTTGGAAGAGCTTATTTTTTTCGGCAAGCCACTCTGATACCCTGGAAAGCCAAACATTAGCCATTGTTTTCCACAGGTCGTCCAATGTCGAACAACATGAATTGAAACTATCACGACGAACCAGAGAAAAGAAGATTAATTTTCGTTTGACTTACGCATACCTAGAAAAAAAAGAATAAGCAGTAAACGGGTCGACTTTTCTCGTACTGAACTAAAAAACTCATGGCGTACATCTAGGCAATCAAATATTTTATGAGAAAGAATAGGCTGTATAAATCAAAGATGGGAAGTCGTTTATGTACTGGATCTTAATTGTTCAATGGCGCCCTCGACCACCTCCAACTTTATCATCTATTGAGGTAATTGTGACTGTGGATTGAAGAATGCACAGGGGTTTGGTAGTTTTTTCACTTGTACTTTGAAGGTGAGGTTGACAAGTATAGGAGATTTTTCAACTTCCGTTCTCTGCTTCCTCAAGATTTTCTCGCTTGTTCTCTTCCCCTAGTTCCTTGTCTCTTGCGTCTGCAGCGCCCACTACCCTTCTGAAATCTACTGATTTGTATACGCATTTAAAGGTATTGATGTCGCAAGTATTATCCGACTACGCGAACAAACATATTTTTATGTAGCTTGCCTGGTAGTACTAATCCCACGTGGGAAAT